TATATATATATATATATATATATCAACCTATGGTATCTTACCTTTTTTAGGAGTTCAAGAAGAGATTGAGTACTATAGCTGTCTGGATTTGTCCACATCTCCTTAATGACATGCAAGAGGCTAGTAAGGAAGCCAAAGCTAACCTGCAATACAGTAAGAAACAAACTGAGACATTATAACATTTCATATTATAAACTGGAACACAGACAAAAAAAACTGCATCCAACAAAGTTTAAACAAGCAGGTAATTTCCAGTCACATATGTGACCCTGGACCACAAAACCAGTCATGAGGGTCAATTTTTTTAAATTGAGATTCATACATCATCTGAATAAGCTGAATAAATAAGCTTTCCATTGATGTGTGGTTGTTTAGGATAGGACAATATTTGGCGGCGATACAACTATTTGAAAATCTGGAATCTGAGGGTGCAAAAAATCTAAATATTGAGAAAATCGCCTTTAAAGTTGTCCAAATGAAGCTCTTAGCCATGCATAGTACTAATGAAAAATTTAATTTTGATACATTTACGGTACAAAAAAAACTGCATCCAACAAAGTTTAAACAAGCAGGTAATTTCCAGTCACATATGTGACCCTGGACCACAAAACCAGTCATGAGGGTCAATTTTTTTAAATTGAGATTCATACATCATCTGAATAAGCTGAATAAATAAGCTTTCCATTGATGTGTGGTTGTTTAGGATAGGACAATATTTGGCGGCGATACAACTATTTGAAAATCTGGAATCTGAGGGTGCAAAAAATCTAAATATTGAGAAAATCGCCTTTAAAGTTGTCCAAATGAAGCTCTTAGCCATGCATAGTACTAATGAAAAATTTAATTTTGATACATTTACGGTAGGAAATTTACAAAATATCTTCATGGAACATCATCTTTACTTAATCTCCTAATGATTTTTGACATAAAAGAAAAATTTATAATTTTGACACATACAATGTATTGTTGGCTATTGCTACAAAAACAGTGCCTATAGAAAGTCTTCATACCCCTTCCTTTTTTCACATTTTGTTATGTTGCGTTATTATGTTAAACTGCTTTAAATTACTTTTTTTCCCACATAAATCTACACCCCACTCACCATAATGACAAAGCAAAAACTGGATTCATCACAGCTTTGCAAATTTATTAAAAAGGAAACACTGAAAAAAAAATGACATTGCACAAGTCTTCATACCCTTTGCTTTGACACTTGAAATTTAGATCAGGAGCATTCCAGTTTCACTGGATCGTCTTTGAGATGTTTCTATACTCCGGCTGGAGTTAACCTGTCGCAAATTCAGTTGATTGGACATGATTTGGAAAGGCACACACACCTGTCTATATACAGTGCACAGCATAAATGAGTACACCCCCTCTGAAACTTAACAAATTCAGAAATTACTCTTTGCTTAGAAGACATGTTGTTTTTTAGAGATATGATATTCCAGCAAGTCTGCTTGATCAGTTACCAAAGAAGAATGTTAAAATTATTCAAGAAATACCATTTTCTTATCAAAGTGATAAAATGTTGTGTTGCAAAAATGAGTACACCCTCCTGAAAGTTACTAAAAAAAACTAAAAACAAAAACAATTCTGGTGTAAGGTTAAGGCAAGTATTGATCAACAGGTATGTTGAACCAAAACTGTTAAAGGTAAATCATTTCTTGATAATTAAGTGTTATATGGCCCACTGAATCATACTCAGACTTAATGCTGACAACAATGAAACCACCTGAGAGAGAACTGTCAGGAGATTTATTTCTTAGCATAAAAGAGGGCAATGGTACAAGAGGAATACCAAATTATTGTTTTAATTGTGAAAATATAGCCAAAGTAACACAGAAATTAAAAAACAATGGACTTGTGAAAAGGCCCCTGAAATAATCAGGTCTTCACTTTAAGCTTTAATTTAGTGATGAGTGAGTGGGTGAGTGGGGTGTAGATTTATGTGGGAAAAAAAGTAATTTAAAGTTTAGTTTAACATAAGTTTAACATAATAACGCAACATAACAAAATGTGAAAAAAATTAAGGGGTATGAAGACTTTCTATAGGCACTGTATACCCGTGTTCATGGGCGACATTGGGGGGGGAGGGGGCGGGCAAGACTAAACAAATTGTTAGTCTTGGGATCACTGATGTCGGGTGGTTTTGTGGTCCAGGGTAACATATTTCCACCTAATTCATTGAAGTCTTACCAGACAGAGCTCATTGAGATTTGCAAAGAGCCTCCAGGAGTCAATGTCTTGAAGACACTCTCTCATCTGAAGGTCTGTTAGTGTGGTCAAAAACACCTACATCCAGAACAAAAGCAAACACGTGTAAGTTCTATTCTTACAAAGTGATTAAATGGTCTGTTGGCCCCAGAACATTTGAGCTATCTAATGGTTCGATAGTAAAGCTACTGTAACCATGCGACATACAGTAGTTTTTGGCAGTTTGTCTCTTTCACCGGAGGACATGTCATTCCATAATTCTAAAGGCACTGTGTTCATACCTCTTTTAAAACCATGAGCTGATCGAGGAAGTAGACGCATTCACTGGTGAAAAGCTCCCAAATGGCTTCCTGTTTACGGTAGGCTTTTGGATTCTCCACTGCTCCCAGTTCAGAGTGACCTCTCAAAAAGTCCTCCAAAGACATATCCTGAAAAATTATAGAAAACGGACTCTTTAAGCAAGACATTACAGGCAAAAACATAGATTTCAGACTAGTGAAAAACATTAAATACACTTTAAAGTGTTTATTTGCCTCTGTAGATTTCAATTACAATTAATACATATGACAATATACATATTATGGAGTGATAAAAAAAATCTAAGATCCCCTCTGTAAAAAAACTAACATGTAAACAAATTGAACCTGGCTTTATTCAATGTTTAGAAGTCTGTTATGGAAATGTATTTATTAGTGAATAGTTAATTAGATAATGCCTCTTTTGCATATTTAAACATAACATTACAGAAAAAGTGTAATACAAAAAAAAGTTTGCAGTAATCAACCAACCAAGGAAGTATGGTAATGCCTATTCGTTTTTTTTTTTTCAACCAAGTAACCTGGGGTGTGGCCATGGCCATGCATAACAACTAATGTGCTCGCATTAGTTTTCAACTCATAGCAGTTTTGAGGCACCAGTTTTGAACACTTACCTTATATGTCTGAAAGTCTGTGTCTCGCCATTCCTGGATCTGAATGCCAGCCAGACAGTTGTCAATGCGAGTCTTCCCTTTTGTCTGCTGAAAAACACCACTCACATTTATTTAACATCACAGTGCCCTGCCCTCAACAGGTCTCTTTGTTGTCAAGCACAAACTGTGGAGCAGACTGCATAGCACGGTATGTTTGAGCTCTGTTAGACGTGCCCGTTTTGTTGTTGTTTACTGTTAATGGAATTGATTGGGGGAAGGGGTGCATGCATTCAAATCTGATTTAGCTCAAAGTGGGTCAGTGAACACTATGTGCTAGATATCATCCGAAGCATCTAAAAAAATTACGAGTATCTGCAGATGGCAACAACCACATAACTGGCACAATATCAAAACGTCACGGAACAGATATCTGCATGATGGTACTGAAACGTTAAAATATGCAAATATTTGCACTTACTGTGTTACGCCTCGAGAAAGGCCACTTTGATTTCTTAGTGTCTGTAAAAGAGAGCAATAAAACAAAATGTTCTGCATAAAGTCTTGCATTTTATTAAGTATTGCTAGTTGGAGATGGGCTATAAAACGGATTTATATACTTTTGTTCTTTCATTATTTAATTCTACAGGTATACAGTAGCACATGTTAGCAAATCATATTAAACCCAGAGTCATGACATTGAGGCATGACTAACCTGAATAGGCTGACTTATTTAAAATATCAGCAACGCCATTGGACACGAACAAATCTCCAGGAGAAACATCCAATCCAGGAAGACTCACAACCACGGAGCTCCGCCTCCTCTCCTGCATCCTGAGAAAAAGCAAACCAGAAGAGAGCAGGTGAGTTCGGAGAACATTCCGGCCCCTGAGGCAGCCAGCCTTTCAAAGTTATGCATGATGGATGCTCACTGAAATAATGTTGGTTAACCACAGAGCATCACATCTAAGATTTATTTGCTTTGTATTTGTATAACAACACTTTCTACAAGTTCGCCACAAGCCGGACGAGTTTAGCACGTGAATTGCAATTCTGCCAAATTATTTCTACCTTTACTCCAGTCCACACAATAGCTCTTCAAACCACGGAAAACAATTATTCCACTAAATTAATCAGAGAAGATTTGATAAACCCTGGCCAATGCGCTGTTGTAATCTCTTTATGCAGAGCCAAGCCATGCTAAACTTGAAAATTCAAGGCAGATTTGATTTAGCAGGAAATCAAAGAATTCCATGTTCACATTTCTAACATGCCTTGTTAGTATTAGGTGGCCGGAACTGCGTTTGAAAAGATGATAAACAAAACCATACCATGTATAAGCTGTACACGCACACCATTGCATAATGGATCTACAGGCCTGTCTACTGATACCTGAACAGTTGGATATATTGTAAGATTGAAATTTTAATATGTCCACTGGTCAAGAACAAAGAGCAGCAGGGGTGGAAAAGCATCCTGATTTTTTGTCTGCAGCCATAGGAGCGAAGTCATTGTTAATCAAGTCAAATGTTTGATTTTTTTTCCTAGTGCTTTTGTGTATTAACCAGGGTTAAATACACAGGAAAGCTAAAACTATGACAAACACTATTGGTTTAAAACATTTCCGTTAACTGCAAAGTAAATGCAAAACTAAAACAGTTACTAAAATATTAGATTTTATGATCTTTGATCTTTACACACACACACACACAAAGCTAAAACTATGACAAACACTATTGGTTTAAAACATTTCCGTTAACTGCAAAGAGAAATGCAAAACTAAAACAGTTACTAAAATATTAGATTTTATGATCTTTGATCTTTACACACACACACATATGTATATGTATATATGTGTGTGTGTGTGTATATATACATATATATATATATATATGAAATGTATTTACTGACAGATTTTGCCAAATAGGTTCAAAGGTAATGGCTCAAAGGTTCCAATAATTCTGAAAACTTATAATGAACTCAAATTGAAACTAAAATGGTATTAAAATTAAAATGGTTTGCATGCAATGTAAATGTCAAGACTATAAACATGAGCTCACTTATGGATTGAAAACAATACAGAAAAACCTGCATTTTGGTCTTGTGCAGTTCCTAGTCATTATAGTTTATCACCAATACATTAGATTAAACAAGATTATAGTTCCATATAGTGATTTTGTGTTCTGTTCTGTTCTGTTCTGCTTCAGTTCCTCTTACATTTTGACATAAAATCCTAAGGGCTTTTAGGCAGAGCTATGACTGTTTTCACAGACAACTGGACAGTCTGGTTTTTGTTTGAGTTATTCTCAGCTTTGTGCCCATCCAGCTGTACAGAGACTCAATGATGTGCCACTATGTGATGTGTGTCAATTAGGGTTACAAAGTGGTGGAAAATGTCCACCTTTTTTGCAACCCTAGTGTCAATAAACATTTTATGGGGGTTTTCTTCTTCAGATGCAGGTATGGGAGAGCAGTAAGAGCTTGGAAGTAAAAGTTAATCGTACCTTCCATCTCTGTAATAAATACAATTCTGTTATTACTAGAAGCTAAAGTTGATCAAGACAAAGTTGACTGTTGGCTTGACAAATCTTTATCTGAAAAATAATAAGCCTAGAAATTTGAAAGTCATATATAGTATAGGACTGATAAATAGTGTTCTATATAGACAAATAGTCCGCCTTCAAATTAAGTCAATTTTATTGTGAAATTCAAACAATAAATGTTACTTCAATGTGGCGTGACAGATCGATCTTCTTTTCCACTTTACTACTAGTTATAGCACAAAATAAACATGAATGAACATCAGAAGATATGTTGAAAAAAAACTGTACAACTTACTGAAATGTATTACATCTCTTGTAATCGCAGTATTTCAAAGGCGGAAAGATGTCAATAAAACACTTCATAAAGAATGTCATGTAACATAACCTTACATTTACCTCAGAAAACCCATTTAATGTCCATAGCTCATTATTCAATATGTGCTATATACAGTGGGGCAAAAAAGTATTTAGTCAGCCACCAATTGTGCAAGTTCTCCCACTTAAAAAGATGAGAGAGGCCTGTAATTTTCATCATAGGTATACCTCAACTATGAGAGACAAAATGAGGGAAAAAAATCCAGAAAATCACATTGTAGGATTTTTAAAGAATTTATTGGTAAATTCCTCGGTAAAATAAGTATTTGGTCACCTACAAACAAGCAAGATTTCTGGCTCTCACAGACCTGTAACTTCTTCTTTAAGAGGCTCCTCTGTCCTCCACTCGTTACCTGTATTAATGGCATCTGTTTGAACTCGTTATGAGTATAAAAGACATCTGTCCACAACCTCAAACAGTCACACTCCAAACTCCACCATGGCCAAGACCAAAGAGCTGTCAAAGGACACCAGAAACAAAATTGTAGACCTGCACCAGGCTGAGAAGACTGAATCTGCAATAGGTAAGCAACTTGGTGTGAAGAAATCAACTGTGGGAGCAATTATTAGAAAATGGAAGACATACAAGACCACTGATAATCTCCCTCGATCTGGGGCTCCACGCAAGATCTCACCCCGTGGGGTCAAAATGATCACAAGAACTGTGAGCAAAAATCCCAAACCCACACGGGGGGACCTAGTGAATGACCTGCAGAGAGCTGGGACCAAAGTAACAAAGGCTACAATCAGTAACACACTGCGCCGCCAGGGACTCAAATCCTGCAGTGCCAGACATGTCCCCCTGCTTAAGCCAGTACATGTCCAGGCCCGTCTGAAGTTTGCTAGAGAGCATTTGGATGATCCAGAAGAGGATTGGGAGAATGTCATATGGTCAGATGAAACCAAAATAAAACTTTTTGGTAAAAACTCAACTTGTCATGTTTGGAGGAGAAAGAATGCTGAGTTGCATCCAAAGAACACCATACCTACTGTGAAGCATGGGGGTGGAAACATCATGCTTTGGGGCTGTTTTTCTGCAAAGGGACCAGAACGACTGATCCGTGTAAACGAAAGAATGAATGGGGCCATGTATCATGAGATTTTGAGTGAAAACCTCCTTCCATCAGCAAGGGCATTGAAGATGAAACATGGCTGGGTCTTTCAGCATGACAATGATCCAAAACACACCGCCCGGGCAACGAAGGAGTGGCTTCGTAAGAAGCATTTCAAGGCCCTGGAGTGGCCTAGCCAGTCTCCAGATCTCAACCCCATAGAAAATCTTTGGAGGGAGTTAAAAATCCGTGTTGCCCAGCGACAGCCCCAAAACATTACTGCTCTAGAGGAGATCTGCATGGAGGAATGGGCCAAAATACCAGCAACAGTATGTGAAAACCTTGTGAAGACTTACAGAAAAAGTTTGACCTCTGTCATTGCCAACAAAGCGTATATAACAAAGTATTGAGATTAAATTTTGTTATTGACCAAATACTTATTTTCCACCATAATTTGCAAATAAATTATTTAAAAATCCTACAATGTGATTTTCTGGAATTTATTTTCTCATTTTGTCTCTCATAGTTGAGGTATACATATGATGAAAATTACAGGCCTCTCTCATCTTTTTAAGTGGGAGAACTTGCACAATTGGTGGCTGACTAAATACTTTTTTTACCCACTGTATATATA